TGTAGTCCACATTTTGTTTGCAATCAGTCACACATCCGTGAACGTGTGTTAGCCAGCTAGTCTGGCTCCCTGACCTGACAATTTCCCAATGTCTATTAATTGCTCTGTTTCACCTGAAGTAGGGTCAGGGAACCAGACTTTTTTTCTTGGCTTTTCCTACATCTACAATGTACATATGAACAAAAATCATATTGTAACAATATTTGCTATAAAAACACTAACCCCCAAATCCATCCATTTCTCAAAATTACAGCAAAAGCATATCATCGTGTCAGTGCAACAAGGTCGTATGACTCTATTCTGCAACAAAGTCGTATCTCGCGCGTATACGCTCCGTGCAACAACGTCGTATCTCGACGTCCACTGACTTTGCGTGTACATCCGGGTTATTTTAAGCCACATACGACCTTTTGACATTCTGAAACTCGCGTTTCGCGTTGATGCCATTTTAGGAGATACGACCTTGTTGCACTGACGCGACGATATGTTGTACATGTCAGCTAAAGAGAACAAGACATACCAAAGTTCCACAAGTTTCAGACAGTTACCACAGTCCCCCTTTTCCCATTCAAAACTAAACCCCCTTTGCCCCCATGGATCAAGTGAACAGTAATGTGAGTTGATGCCAACAGCAGATCCCAGCATTCTGACTGAAGGGAGACGAAAAAAATTGCAAAATAACGACTTCCTCTTGTTGACAACTTCTCCCCAGAGAGTCCCATCGTGATTTGCAATTAATTACAACTGGGACATGGTGAATTGAGAAATCGCGCACACCGCAGAAAAAAAGTGGTGTAATAGGAGACGTCACAAGGAAGTTCACAACGCCAACATGCAAACTTCCTGCATAGCTACATGTACACGCACATATCAACTGGTGGTGACAATGAACATGGCACAGTCAATCTGTCACCTTTATTTTTAATGATCCGGTTTCCTTTGCCTGCAATTTAAAGAAACTGAACTGCAATTTGACGTTTTCCCCGACAGCCTCAGGGCTGGGTCTGTCCAACAGGTGTCAAAGTCTGATTGGGCAAATTACATGGAAAGAAATTCAAACATTTGACATTGTTCTTATCTCTCACTGCAACTCCTACGCTACTACTACTCCCCTCCCCCCCCCCCCCCGAAAAAGAAAGACCTGACAAGATGAACAGTTACAGAAAATCGGTATTTTCTTTATCTACTGAAACCATTCCCCTCTTTCAATGAAGCATATAATTGGTACGTACATAGGCAATAATGACTCTTGAAGTCCACAAAACAAGGGCTGTAACATGTATCAAGAATGCGCCTTGTTCAGGAATAGTAATAAGGAAATCCCATGACAGTGACATAATGCGTACAAATCCGGATGCACCGTGTTTTGAAACTACGAAAGCAATTCTCCCCCACGCAAACAACTTAATAACCACACATTTTCAAACGACCCACGCGCCAGGTTTTGTGCACTTTTGTGCTCAAATTGAGTTGCGATCCCTTTTGTATGCCAGGACAGGACGACTGATTTTGCAAGACATCGTGATGGAGGTGGGACCCTCAATGTTTTCAAAAACTTAGGCTGATGTTGTCTGGGAAAGATCAGATAATCGGATCTCAAGAGTAAGAGATGTGCTTGCAGAGACAGATGTTTCAAAACCAGCCAAGAAAAACATTTTGGGAAAAAAAAAAGTTTAAAATAAATGTACAGTACTGATAACCTGTTTGGATATCAAGTTACATTTCTGTGGCAAATATATGCTGGGAAAGTGAATATTAGATTGTACCAAATTCAGAAAACAATGTGATAGCAGTATGTGAAGATCAAAGAGTCCAACATTTAAAAAAAAATAAAAAAAAAATTCACTACTTAGTAAGTCAGCGCCAAAAAATGCTAACCTCGCAATGGATTCAATGAACACAATGGGATGTAAATAGTCCCAATGATAGATAAACAGCGTCAGGTTCAACAGACGCCGTATTCAGCCAATGTAAACGTCTCCGGTTTGACCGCAAACAAGCAGTTTCATTTTGAAAGTAAACTTGCAATCACCAAAAGGTCATTAAAAGAAAAATTAGCCATACAGGATGTGTGCTTAAGATGAGCAATGAATGGATGTGGCTGGTTCTGCTTTCACGGCAAAATTTGCTTCACGGATGACACATGCATCACAAAATTACTCTTTCAATTTCACGCCAACTCAAAAATAACATTCATACTGACACTTCACCTGCACTTAATCTCACTGAAAACAAAGTAAAAATTTACCACAAACAATCAACAGGAAGTATTGCGCTGGCGTTTCCTACTGTGAAACTATGAAACATGAGTCCAGCAAACTGAAAGATCGTTCACTGTAGACGAGCGATGAGGGCAACAGAGCGCTGTGCATTCCCTTTAACCTCGTAGCCTTATGCAGTTTCTGGGTCACTTAACTCGCTTCAATAAAAATGGAATGTTTCAATGGCATCACAATGGGATTTGGACCCCAACTTAAAGGCCACCTCTACTCTGAAGGCTTTTAAATTACCATGCTACATGGAATTAACACAAGAGAATGACAACAAGAATGTACTACATTGTACATGTACTATCAAAATTGTTTTAGGATTTGCCCTGCATAATTCTACCAACTTAAAAGTAAAGTTTGAGCTAAAGGCCTGAATAATATGGTGCCTGGCACTGCCTGCGGCATGGAAAACCTGGAAACCCTGGTAACAACATCTACATCAGTCGTGGAACAAGACATTGGTGTCCACAGATGAACAACTGCCTAAATACATGTAACTACTCAATTTTCTTCCATATTATATATTCAAGTCTGTCCAGAGTCTAGACTAGAAATAGTAGCCAACGATGATGGCACTAAAAATAAGCTTTAGGTTTTCAATGATTCATTTTCTCTTCAAATTCACACAGTTTTTCACAAGGTCGAAGCGAACCAAATTGTTTCAAAACTTTCTTGAAGTATCCCCACAGATTCTCCTTTAAAAATTTGGTCAAATCAAATTTGCTCTCAGTGTGAGTCCAGTGACCTGGCATCCGTGTCCTTAAAAAAATTGGGGGTCACCGCAAAAAGAGAATGTTCTTACTGGAACAACTGCTGGGCTTTCCTGACCTCAGCCAACAACGTGACCACTGCAATTTGCTGCCTTGTCAGCATTCAGTGTGGGCCACCGGCCTTATTATTATTACTACAAGTACAACAGGTAGGCATTATGCATGTTTAGTCCAGGAACAAAAACAAGGATGTTTTCCTAGGATATGCTATAATCGTCCATAAACAGAGTGGTCCGGGAGTGGTCGCAATCACAGCAGTACAAAACCATAGTGCAAAAAAACAGGAAAACTACCAAAAAAGAAATTCATCGAAAAATCTTAACCACAGTATCTTTGAAAGCATGTACAACCACTGAATAACAAAGTTAAACTATTTAGGGGAATAGGTACTGTGTGCATTTCAATGGTGCATGTGAAAGTTACTGTGATTAAATCGTACAATGTGAACATGTCTATGTTTAACATGTTCATTTTGTGTTCACAGACAAAAAAGTTTGGTTCCTGTTTGGCAGACATTTCAAAAAGTGAAATCAGACAGAATTGTTCTCATCCCTACTGAAGGCAATTAAAAAAAACACAAATCCCCCAACTCAACAGGTCTCATTCATCAGGAAGGTCAATCCAGTTGACCAATCACGTGGGGCCTTTCATACCAATCAACCAATACCATTTCCTGTATGACTTTGGTTGTACAGAGGCGCCTGTTGCTAGGCAAATTTGCAATGAACTCGCCTGAATGCATCGCTTTTTGTGAGGGGTTATTTAATTGGCCCGAGGGGGGCTCCGTTAGTGAAAAGAGGGAGGTAAGTACGCCATTGTGTGGCCAATCACAAGCATTGTTAGCGTGCACTTCACAGGTCAGCTGAAAGGATATATAATAAAAAACCAGCATGTGTTCAGTTAGAAGGACTCCCTTTAAAGAAAAACTGTTCAGCATGTAGAAAAACTGAATTGCTTTAACAATATCTGAAAGGATTGTGTGGCATTGAGACTCTCTCTGTGGTAAATCCAAGCATGCTTTCAATGAGAAATCCAACAGCAAGGTATACTTATATAACTTCAACCAATTGTAAGGCATACAGTGGTGAAAAGGTGGATGACTGCAACTCTCGGTGAGGACTGTTACTCAAGGACTGGTCAAGCCTTGAGTTTTCGTCCAATCACAGGTTTGCTCTCGCTAGATCTTGGGTCAAACGATGTCACACTAATAATATACGAGTACATCATGCAAGGCCAACGCACATAATCAATGTAGAAAACTTAGGTTTTCTTTCAAGGTTCTTTACTTATTTACTGTGAAGGAAACACAACTGAAATGAACCTTGGATCCAATGCAATACAACCAAGGGTCAGGTCAGAATACCACACTAATTTATGCAAGGTCAGGTCAAAGCATGTTGGGGCAGCAACAACTGACCAATGAGAAGACAGTTCTGCACACACAAAAAGGGGGAAATGAAGTAAGTTTCAGGCTTTGTAACTGTCAAAGCTTTCGGAGCATTTGGTCCGAATTAAGCTACATGTTGTAATTCATAAAACACATCCAGGACATGGAACATTCAAATCGCAATTAACATGCTCATTAGTGCATCCAATAATTATTCCCAGAACCATCACTACTATTTGTTTTATCGGTTATAATTTCTCCTAATGAGTGAGATAAGGGTCCCAAAAATGATGAATCTCAAATGTCAGGTTTTAATGAAATTCACTTGATTAGCATTTTGGGGTTTTTTAATTTCCAATTTCCTTTCACTGCAGATGTAACAGGCACTGAGATAATTACTGAAGCCTTATTAATGTGAATGTGTGAAATTGAAAACAGCAGATAATATTTTCACACAGCGGACTTTTTCACTTTTCTTTTTAAATAAGGAGGGGGGGGGAAGGTATTATATTTTAACGATTAAATTCTTGATAATTATTTTAAATTTGGAAGGGGGCAGAGCGAATTACTTACTGGCATTGGGATACACTTCCAGGGTTGGCGACACAGGCACCACCGTTAAGACACGTGTCGGGCCCACACGAAGCTGCAAGAAAAAAAGGAAAGCAATAAAAGAGATAAATTGGCCGAGGAATTTGGTCAACGAAAATAGTAACCCTTATGGTATATTTGCAAAAATTTAATGATCCCCGTTTGCTGTTTCACGTTTTGCAGCATTGCTATGATGTTGCTAGCATCTTGACTCTGGGTGTGATCCTTGGCTACATGGCATATTTAAATGGCAGATTGGGCCACCATCAACATAGGGCTAGATAGCTCAGTTGGTAGAGCACCGGAACGGCAATCTGGAGGACGCAGATTGTTCAACTTTTCTTTGTTCATTGTTAAAAAAAAAAAAGTTGGAACTTGTGAGCTTTCTGGTTTGGTGAGCAACCAGTTTTGACGAACCCAGTCACTCCCAGATCCTACAAACTCCATCAGAAGCTTATGGTCTATCATATTTATCTTACCAGTTATGTTTGTGATGCTTCATTCCCCTCAATTTAAAGATTTTTAGAATGTGTCACTGGTTTATTGTACACTTGGAGGAATAGGAAGGATTTAGGCAGGTTCCAACAAAAATCCCCAGAAAGTTTGGGTAAAAAAAAAATTTGACCAATCACAGACTGGTTCCTGGGACCTCTCATTGTCTTGATCAACCTAAATTCACCGACAAAGCAACAGGCACTGATAATGACGTTGAAAAAGAAGCTTGAGTTCAGTTGTCTACCCCTGCAACCATTGGACAGCTTAATACAACATTAATCGGTAACAGCAAGCTCGATGATACCAATGTTTAAGTACAGGTACATCGATTAATCGATTTATAATCACACTCAGCTGTGTACACAATACAATGATCAGTATGCATTCAATTTTTTTTTCTGGAACCTGTTCTGTGTAAACAATCCAGAACATCTTTTGAACATCTCACTGGAAACAAAAATTCTGCAGCGTTTTTTTTTTTTGGGGGGGGGGGCATGCATGACCCTCCCCCACTATCAGCCAGGGTTTATCAAAGTGTCTACACCGATAGGCGCGCGAGTCCCGGGTCCGTAATCTACCAATCGGAAGACCCATTCCTCCCGCCAACAATGAGGGTAAATAAATACACTTTGTCAATCTGGCCCGCGCACGGCACACATCCCTGCAGTAAACACCCTGCCACGGCCGATAACGCTCACTTCCTAAAGTCTAAAGTTTAACCCATTCCTTTATTCAAGTGCTCGAAATTACCGGAGATCCATGCAGACGCGCACAAAAATTACTTCTGCTAAAGTGTGTTCAAAGATGAAGGGATTTGGTGTGGCAAATGTTGTTTATTCTATTCCCATCTGTATATTGTACCTCTTGTACCACATAATCAACTCTGGCAATCTTTGACAAAGAGAACACTACTCTACAATACATATTTTTGTAAATATCCACAGATATACAATGCTCTACAGTAAAAGCTTGTGCTTTACTACGAACTGCATAATGCAGTCTCAACTCCAATCCAGTGTTTCCATGTCCACACCATGACACCCTTTAGAAAAATCTACAATTTTGTGACGATACATGTCTCTAAGTCTAACACACTCATTTCAGTGCAGAGTGTACCTGTACATGTAGATCCATTGCTAATGTGAACTTCCTAACTAGTTCTAGAGAATGACAACTGTGTAAACAAAGTAAGGATGTGTTCTTACAACTGTATAAATAGCACATAAAATCTGGGGTTGGACTGCAGTATTTTTGGCAGCATTTTTGAGGCAGGCTTTTGACCAAAAAAAAAACAGTGTGAGGTGTCTCCCAGACCACCCAAACAATGACAGCCTCCCTCCAACCCCCAGATTGGGCAATTTCCTTTTGGCCCTCGCGTGCTCCCTAATCAGATAACTAGAATCAAGGACCAAAGGACAAACAACACCAGCGGTGAACTTCGAACGCAAACACTTTTGCATAAATTTGGTTAAGCGAGTTGGTAGGCGTGAGGTCGACACGTGTTTTTCACCGTTGTCACATGTCCAACACATCTGCAAGTATTCATCGTTTGGTCCGCTTAAACAAATTACGGGCTGGTCAACTTTTTGTGAAGGAAAATAATGAATATGTACAAGTTCTCTCTCAAAAACAAAATTGGACAATCTGTGAAATTGTAAAAACTCAGAAATTAATGTATGGAATGCGATTGAGAGCTTCTGTGTGTGGGTTTTTTTTTAATTATATTTCTACTGTTACTGGGTCACATTTTGATAAACGTGGAAGACAAAGATTTAGAACAAAAATCGTTCCACGGAAACAAAAAATATTTTTCCCCTTAACAGTTGAAGTTGAATCACTCCTCTCGTATAACCACAGTGCCAAATCAGCCAGTAATGAATTTATTATCTCAGCTTTGTGACCAAAGCAAAGTTTTTTTCACACAACACCAGTGGGCAGGCAGGTTTTTTTTAAATAAACTTCTCCTGTTTCGCTTAGCCATAACAAAGCGCATTCTTGGGCCAAGTCTCCCGTCATCGCTTTTCAATGGGGAAACTTTGGCACAAGCAATGACCTGTCGTCATTGGATGCAAGCATGGGCTGCAACTGTAATACCACACATTCTCTCGTTTCACTTTAATTATATGAAGGAATGTAAAGAGCTTGGCATCCCGTCAAGGCATTCTGCATCCGCATGCAAACTTAAAGAGGATATCTCTGATGGAAGGTTTATCAGATGGGAGAGGCTCCGTGTTTTTAGCCCGAGGGGCGTTACAATTACCCATGCTGTATTAACTGGCAGATTTAACAGTTGGATGTTTCTACAGAAACTTTCGTTAACGGATTTTAAAATTAGGCCTAGATTTTTGTTAGAATATTAAGAAATTCAAATGCTCATTTGGGTAATGAAGTTAAGAGCAAGCCATGTGATACCAAAAATCTACGACTGTTGATTTCAAAAGAACTTTAATGTTGCCCTTTGTCCCAAGTAATCATAGAGGGGGAGTGTAAAGACGAATATCGAAAAACTTTTAAACTTTTATTTTGATATTATAACCGTAGAGCAAAGGAAAACTTTACTCGCGGAGGCCACATCACAAAAGACACTATTGAGGGAGGGGGCGTTGTGAACCTGATTGTTTAAACCAAGGATAAATTCTTACCTTCCTCAAATTGTAATTGGTTTTGTTTGTTATTTCGTGCATTGTAAATACAAGTTATTGTTACAATAAATTATTACTAAGAATTGTTCTGCCAGAGGTCCTTCAATGCTTTCAACGTCAATCATGCATTCCATTCCATCATTGTGAGATATATCTCCACCCCGTCCGTCCGTCACACCAAAAATAAGTTCTTTTGTACACATGTACATGTATACCTGTAGCTGTGCGGTTAGGCGATCAAGGGCACAGCAACATCATTGTCATCAAATTTGCTTAGAAAAACACTGGCAGACTGGTTAAAACGTTTGGTCAACAATAGGCACAGGATGGCAATGTTTTTTTTTGTGGAAGGACAAGACAAACAAAAGTAAAAAGAAACAATTTCAAAGGTTTCACTACTGCGTCATAGTAAAAAAAGGAACTTTACACAATAAAAAGAACACTCTACTACACCAATGTTACATTTACAACATGCAAATTGATTCATGTACAATACTTGTCCTTGCTGATGAAAAAAAATCTTAAAACATGTTTCTGACTATTTATTTCATTACAACCTTTGTGTGCGCATTAGCTCAACTTTGTAAAGATTTGTTTTGTCAACTTTCAAATCCAACCAAAACTTAATACAGAAAATAAACAGAAGTCAAATAGAAATATGACCCTAAACTTGACACTTAATTTTATTTCAACAATGTTCAAACAAACAAAAAATGATTGAAAGGTCAATCAATCTACACAAAAATGTTAACTAAATCCTGAATTACAAGCAGATTGTCATAGAAGTTGTTTGTTTTTTTCCTTTCGTTTAAATACACTTTCCCGGACAAATTTTCATTTGGAATTGATGCCATCCTTGAAGACATCTAGTTGCTCACTTGATGTAATTGATCAGGAAGTAATTGAAAGGGGGCAAAAGCACCCCGGTCATGGCGTCTTCCTTACCAAGGGGGCCTTGAAAAATGCACTAATTAACACATCCCACTGTGATAACCCTGCTCCTATGATTTCCTGGAATGCCAATACGCTGTGGAATCCAACTGGAATATCCCGAGGCTGGGATGCAGTGTTTGAGCACGGACTAAGGTTTTTGTTAAGCTTACATGTACATGTAGGCTTAAGCTGTACATGTACATGTACCTGCCGAGTGTCCTTTGCAATGCCTATGGACTTTGTGCATAACTTTGCCCTTACTTAACCCTAACTCCCTAGATTGAATACTACATGTACATGTAGGAACCTTCCTCACTCCTGCAAATTCCAACACCATACAGTAAACTGTACACTTGGACTCTGATTTTGGTGGTACTATCAGCCCTAACCCTATAATCAGTATACTGGTGCAGTACCCACTCCAACAGATTCCAACAAACTCTGGTGTTGGAGTTTGACTGGATGGGGATTGTTAGGGTTAAACAGGCAAATGGCAATGTCGTTAGTTGGCGTTAGGAGTACAGCGGTAATGGCATTCAAGACTCTGCCTTTAGTCTATCTTTGCCATCACTAGGGGGTACCGGTGACAGTTCATCGGGTGCACCACAAAGTGGTGAGTATGATAGTTTTGCTGCACCATGAAGTGAGGGATTTTCAATGGATTTTGTTTCACCATGGAGGAATACAAATACACTTCATGGGATGGCAACTGCGCCTCCACGATACGTCATTTCGTGGTACGGCCGACGACTTAATGGTGGGCTTTTTAGCACCATGCTTGTGTGAATTCCTCTCACCCAAGCTACCTCAATATCACAAGTCTGTGCCCGTTTAGCAGAGAATAATTTGTCAAACGAACTCTGTATATGCACATGTGAACAGGAATTACCGGTCTGAAAACCTTCATCATCTATGAAAACACGAACACAATTCTTTCCATTTCCAAGTTTTGTTGATTTGTGTAAAAAATAACCAATCCAAACATGCAACATAAAAAAAGAAAAGAGCTTGAGATACCTGCTCTGCCTCAAGAAAGTGCAAGTTTGCTTGGTCAGTCGGGTCATTTTTTCCATATATGCCTTAATTTGTCAGCCAATAACTCGGATAGTTGGTATGTTGGTAAAGCTATTTTAACAAGCTTACTGAAAGCAAAAGTCCACTGAATAATTGGAAAGGTGCATTGACCCAAGTACTTCAAAGTACTTGACATACTGCAGATTTGAACGTCCCTGCATACAGTGCACTGACACTGCAATAATAATTACAAATGGGGGAAGAGGATTGCAGAAACGAAACAGATATCGAAATACTGCCAAGCTGTCTGCTGTAAGTGTAACCCTTCCGATAAATGCAATTAATACTGTTTCCAATGGAGGAAACAATGTTGCAACCTGATGCCACTTTTTTCTTCACCATCTCAATAAAGGTCAGTCATTGCAAAAATGATGATAAGACATGCATCTGGGACTGAGAAACATTTCTGATTTGTTATGTTAGGAAATACTTTTAAAATTTTCTTGACTCTCCATAGACTTTGTACACAACTGCTGAAGTGGGGTCAGGTTGCAACATTTTTTCCCCAATGGATCCAAGGTGACAACCCTGCTACTTTGATACATTGTAATAATGCAATCCTCATTTTTGTATACAAAGTAATACACAGTGTTACATTCTTCCAGCTACTGTGCAACACAGTTGAAAACTTGTTGTGTTGCCCTCACATGAAAAATATCAGGAGGGTCTGTCAATCAGGGATATTTTTTTTTGGGGGGGGGGGGGAGATACACATGTAGTTTTAATATAGCCCTACCCTTTCTTCTGTTTCATTCGGTTATTCTACCAACTTAGTTTTTTTCCAAAAAGTTCCGCATTTTTTTTAAATTTATGCAACTTGCAAGACAGTCATGACAGTTGGAAACTGTTCTTGGAAAATATTCTTTACTCTGCATTTACAATGAATAACCCAACCAACAATTCAACTTTCAAGCATTGTGTATTTTTTTCCCAACATTATTTTCATTAACTTCATTGTTTACACCATGCATGCAACATCCATGTCTTTGTATTTCGCCACTTTACTACAATTACAAATACAAACCCATTGGCATTACATTTTTAAACCCCCAACTACATGCACTTGCGGTACCGGTACGCACAACAGACTACAGAGTTCAGATGTTCAACAGGTTTCAAACTTGTTGATGTATCATAACTCAGTCTGCGTGTACAGTACAACTTCGCATTTCCTCAAAAAAAAAATCCCATTTAATTAATACCCTTCAACGTGTGTACTTCAAACTTCACAGTTTGGGTCAACTTCGGCCAAAGACACTCAGCTGATAATGCAAGTATTCCCCGGGTAGGCAGCACGTTACTTTACCTCGAACAACGGTCGTACACTGCAGCACGGTGTTGATAAGCACCACCACCAGTATCAAATCCAAACGGGGCATCTTAAAATCCGGTCCGAGTTTTCGTCCCATCTTGACCCTCCTCTTCTCACGACAATCTGCCTCTTTGGTCAACCATGAGTGCGGCGGTGTCCGCAAGTAAATTCCAGGCGATTCTCGGGCCGTGGTGTGAACGAATTCCCGACGAAAATGTGTGGAGTTTTGAGTTGAGTTTCCGGTTTATTGCGACAAGCACTCGTTAAAAAGTACCGAACTGAGCTCTTGGTGTTTTGTGTGTACGTCGTGTGTGTACAAAAAAAGTTAAGTCGTGTGGCTGACACAAAGCGCACGACCATTGCAATATCCATCCGCGGCAGTGAGGACCGCTCAACTATGGTAAACTATTATCATGCAAATTCATTTCGTCAGGCACGCTTTTGCCAGGGCAAGTTGAGCCGTCTTCTTTTATATACTTAATAAACCGTCCATTAAGGCCTCAAGGATTTTGGCTTTTAATCCCCGATGGTTTAGGATAAAAACTGGAATAAACTCCGCCCGGCAGAGTCCGGGGATTTAAATAGGGTACACCAGTGCCATTCGGCACTTGTTGAAGATCAGTATACCTACACGGCTGCAAGAAAGTACCGGCCCCTTATGGTGAATATTGAGAAACTGTGGTTTTCATGCACGATCACGTCTTCTTGGAACTTTATTTTCCGTAATTCTTCCCGGATGAGGGGAAACGGGGACTGGGGAATGTACAAATGTAGCTATTATGGGGCCCATAATTATAACATACGAAGAAAGGAAAACCTTCATTTTTTTTATTTATTCTTTTTTAAATAAAGATCAAAGTATTAAAGCAATCGTCCTCGGCATAAAAGGTTGATCAATTTCAGCTTTATCATAGAGCATTAGCTCCATAAATTTGTATAAGATTAACACGCACTTAATTCTTATCGGCTACACCAACGCGGTATTTTCAACAGGCATGTGCATGGTCCATTTGCACAAGCGTGGGGGGGGGGGCTACGGGGTGCCGGGGTGGGTGCCACAATGTTCTTATTTTTTTTATGTATACTACTGTGTCAAGCTTCAGTTTTGCTAAAGTGTGTAATTTATTCGTGAGGGTATACAAGTTTGTAAACAAAAAAAAATATTATTAGTTTAAACTTTTATTGATATAAATCCACCTGAATGGTGGCAGAAATGCACGGACACCAAAAAATACACAAATCTAATTATTGCATTACCAATACGGCTGAATTTGTTAAATATTCCCCTTCAAATTGAAATTCTGTGGAAATGTTGTTATTTAACCATTCTTCAGGCGTGAATACACAGTGAAAGGCAACCAGAAGGCCACGTGATGGCGGCATAACCTTGAGCACATGGTGCTGCGTGTCACAGCTGTGGGCAGTTGCGTAACGCTTCTGCTTTTAAGTTTTGCAGGAGCGTGACTTGCGCCCTCAACGGCCATAATGACCATAGTCCGTCCTAAAGGTTTCACTGTTTTGTTTTGTCACAGTGACGTAGTATGTGGCTTGCCTTCGAGTACGACTTTTTTACCGTAAAGACTAGTAAGCAAGTAAAGGGTGGATCTAGCTGATTTAGGTGAAGGCGTATCCCTGCCATAGGGGGTCCGGGGCATGCTCCTCCCCCATTCCAAGGCAATTTGAGAATAAATTTAGGAGTTTGAGACAAATTGTAATAATTTTGGGCATCATTTACGCGTATCTTTATTTTTTTCAGCGGCTGAAAGGGAGTCCAACCCCTAAAACCCCTCCCCCAAATCCGCTAACTGTAAGCTTTGCATCTTGGACAGGTAAATCGCGTAAAAAAAAGATATTGTTTTATTTTAAAAATTGTGGGGAAAATATTTCGTTTATTAATAACAAGATGGTTCACTCAAAAAAAGTTGAATCAATTAACAAAAAAGTAAGGATAATGATATTTTTGAAAATCTTATATACTTTGCGTCTGATCGTTTTTGATAACTTGTTTGGGGTCGAAAGGTCATTTTGTTCAATGACCGTTTTGAAAAAAATGACATCACAATTCATTCCAGACGATCGGTGCAAGAATATATTCTGCGGAGAAATTTATGGCAGTGTATGCAGGCCCGTCGCTAGGGAGGCAGGGGCCGAGTCCCCCCCCCCCCCCCCCCCCACCCCCGCATATGCAAAAACCATAAGCATCAAAAATTAACTACATGTGGGTGTTTTTTTCTTGTGGTGTGCCCCCATAGCTGGTACTGTGTTCAGTGGCGTCGCCAAAGGGGGGGGGGCAGGGGGGCACGTGCCCCCCCCCTGGAAAACCTAGTGCCCCCCCCCCCCCCCCGAGTGCCCCCCCCCCCCCCCCCATCAAATGCTGGTGCCCCCTATCCTCTGCAAAATTCTGCGCGTTGTTAAAATCATTACCTCAAAAATAGCAATTTCTGGAGATATCTTCAGATCGAATTTAGCATCAAATGTGGCACAATTTTGCATCTAGCCCATCCTCCGTATGCGAAAATTTTCCAAAGGGGAGGGGGGCACCCCCCTCCCCTTAGACCCCTCCCCCAGGACGGCGATCCGTATCCACCTAAGTGCCCCCCCCCACCCCCCCCCCCCCCCCCATCAAATGCTGGTGCCCCCCTGTGCCCCCCCAGACTGAAAAGTCTGGTGACGCCACTGACTGTGTTCCCCCTATGTCCAGAGCTGTCGACGGTGCTGAGTGTAATAAGTATGATATTTTGAAGGACAAGACCTCCCCAAAACAATTTCAGTGATGTCTGTTGTTAGGTCACTTTGAATGGCTTGCGACTAGACTTGAGACTGAAGGACTAGTGATTGTCTTACAATTATGAGGACTTGGGTAAAAGTTATCTTAGGCTTGACTGCAAGTGTACTTAATGATGTACATTGCGTTCAGACCTGAAGTGGCATCATCCTGAATTGTGGTGGGAAGGTGTCCAAGTTATTAACAAGGTGACCAGACGTACTTAGCATCGAAACTGAGGGGTATTATAATAATGATCCTTTTGTGGAGAGTATTACAAAAATATCCTATAAGGAGTTAGCACATATCCTCGGCTAAGTAAGATGCTTACTTGGATTTCGTCTGTTTAAAAACCTGCATTTTTTTCTTGATAATTAGTACATTATTAGAAATATCTGGTTGGGCATCTAAAACAGAATAGGGTACTAATTATTTTTTTTACCTACATGTATAATAGTCTGAAATAAGTATGTGTACAGAATTATCCTTTTGTCGTTTATTGTTTTGTTACGCAAGCCCGTAAGCAAGAGGCTGTGTGGTGGCAGCCCTGTTCATCAGGCATTGCAATGCAACTCGTCTTTCTTCTTCCTTTGGCTAGACTCACTGATGTAATTTCAAGTCAAGGCTGTCCGTTGACGAACACACTTCCTTCATCTTCAAAAATTAACAGATAATTCGTTAACCAAGGACCCAGCCAGCAACAGGCTTGCCGTGGATGCCTCATTGTCTGCTGAACAAAGAACAGAAAGCCGCGCCGAGCCGCTAAACGGCCCAGTCAGCACCGTGGGAGCACACGCAATAATTCCCGGCCTCCATTCTTCGGCGTGCTGTGCCGGCCCCCGGTCTTTAATTAGCCTTTGTTTCCTGGGCCCACGCGACCGGCACGGGGCGGCCGGTCCCCCTTGCGCGCGGTGGCCAGCCGGCGATCCCCCCACTTCTCGTGTCAAGAGGGTCCCTTGGGTCGAGCCGTGCGCACCGGCTAATTTAGGCCGCTCGTGGATTAGCAACATGGCTGCCAATCATGTGGCAAATCGGCGGCTAATCTTGCCGATTAGCGGCATAGATGGCGCTCCATCCCCGTGTGACTGGTCGGTCCCGGCCGAGGCCCTGGGCAGCGGCCAGCCAGCCTCCTTTCGCCTCCCAGCGACCCAACACAATATTTCGGCACATCTCTGGAATTGGAGAGGAGCCTGCAGCGTTCGAAACCCATGGTGGCTTCATTCACGAGAGTAAAATATCCGTGATTAATTATGCACGATAGTTACGCAGCTTCAGACCTTGACGCAACCAACCAGAGTTTTCTCACGGTTTCTCCGCTTGGCTGCATCATTTGGGCGACCATTGTGACCCATAATCTGCATGACAAACGCGTTATTTTTAGCCAATAGCGTCACAATGAAGACAGTCAATCGGGCGTGACGCTTGGTTATTGGATGATTAGTGACGATTTCGAGTTTGACTTAAAAAATTGCGTTTATAAAAGAGAAGGACTGTCCCACCGACCCAGCAACAGGAAATTTCAGAGGAAATTTGATGGACTGAAATTTGAGTTTCAATTAAAGTTGTTTTCGTAAAGGTATATACAAGCAAATTTTCGATGGCATCGAATGCGGAAGGTACGGTGTGCACTGTCAGTGTCAAAACTCAATATTGGGAGAAAGGATCTGTTTTCGATCGGAATCGATTCATGTGTATCTACTCCGAACATATTCCGAACATAGAGGGCGCATTATAACATGTTGCATGGCATTATTTTTTTATGACCTTTTTCAATGTGCAATGATTTAACAGTAGGCCTATATATTCTATAAAAACTGCTAGAAAGATCGAGTAAGAAGAGTTTATTCCAAAATGCGATATCACATCCATTTGAAGAAAAAAAATTAGACAATTTGCACGGTTATAAACAATTTAATGAATAAAAAAAAATATTACAACTTTTTCTGATGTTAATTTTCGCTTTATTGTATTCTTAAATTATATTTAACTACCGTTACATAACAGTCATCGAAATTAACTTTGGCCAGCCGGAGGAGAGCGGACTCTACAAGTACAAAGTAAAAAAAATGGCGTGTATCGCGTTTTGAAAATACATGTAAAATCTAAGGAAGTACCGGTACCAGTTTACTAGATAATTGAAAACAATATATATAGTAAGGATGATTGTGGTTACATTTTAAAATGCAACTGGCATATATTGTTCTATGCTGAGTTGTCAATTTCGTCATAATATTTATATCGATAGTTTGACGAGTTTGGATGATGACATCTGCCCTTCCTCGCAAACCTAATTGGTTTATTCAAGGCTTGCATCCCAACAAGGAAGTCATACGAATTGACAGGAGTCAGGTTTGGCGTAGCGGTACTTTCCTCGCCTTCCACCGCTGTCACCCGGGTTCGAATCCCACCCGCCCTGGCCAATAGGTGGATCCCTACCTGTACCGGGTTTTCCTCAGAATATTCTTCTGGACTCTTCCGCTTACCTCTAAAACTGTAATTTCTTCTCATTGTCTCTATACAGGTTTCTTGAGGCTTTCGAGCTACAGTACCTAGGGCACTGTCGAGGAATCCTTGGTGTCGTGACCAGAAATAAAGTAAATAAAATATTAAACTCATCTTTCGAAATACATTCTATGATTAACATTCTATGATCACAACGATGTGGGTTTTTTTTTTTTCAATTGAGAGGTCTTCCTCCCGCCTTGTGTATCCCCCTGCACCAGCTTGGTGAGCGTCCCAAACTCCTAAGATCACGGTCGGAAAAACCTGGGACTTTACACAAAGTTTGGTTTTACGTTGAATCGCCCACTCCATAAACAAGCATAGCAGATGGAAGTATGGCAAATCACAATTTGTCATGTCAGTCATGCTGTTTAATTTTGGATAGAACTTGCGTCCAGAACAATCGTTTACCCACTGGGTGATTGTTGTTATAACCGAGCTGGGCTGCATTCCTCGCATAATTGCCCATGACCTTGCTGACATTATATTGCTTGGTCAGGGTAGAGTTCTCACAGTCGTTCCACAGTTGATTTTTTTTTACAGTTGCTAAAATGATGGAATGGGGAATTAGGAATATATGGGGTTCATATATCTGAAACAGTATCAGCCAAAATAATAGCCTTGAACAAAACAAAAGATAAGTTGGGGGAAAAAATGAGTATACAATAAAAAGAAATTCAACTATTTTCAGGTGGGCGGGGCCATGGGTTGGTGAATTAAAGGTGTGGCCCGGGGGTTGGAGGTTGGAAGAATTTTTAAATAGAGCTACACTTTTTTTCATTTTACTTATTACCCCCCCCCCCCCCTCCCCTCCCAACTGCAACCGGACCCCAAAATAGAGAGACATGGTCTGTCCAGAACTGCACTGGTCACGGCTTTCGAAAAGAACTCGCGGGTAGGCGAACTTTAAAACAAAAGCACCAAAAACTAACCACTACCTTTACATAAAATGATATTACAATGGTCACACGTACCCAGGACGTACCCCATCCCTCCCGTATAAAACTGGGATGATTCTGTTTCCCAACTTCTGGCGGGAAAGAACAAATAATCAGTTGACTCGGGGAAAAAGTTGACGAGGTTACCGCGTGCGTGTATTAGTGACAAAATAGACGCGTGCCTCTTGCAAAATAAGCAACCTGCAGCGGTCGCGTGACGAGGTCGACAGGTTTCACCAATTGAAACCCTGCAGTGCAGGACCGCTCACGACCCCCGCCTATTCCCGCTATGAGCATGTCCGGAGATTTTTACCATAACGGCAGGAGAAAATATAATTTGTTTTCCAGAGCGCCCGTTTTCACTTTCGAGAAGTGAAATGATTCAATTTTGACGCAAGTTAAAGATTCTTGTTGATTTTTACGATGATTTTGTTACTTTTTCTTCTAAGAACAAGTGTATGTACTGTATTTAAAACCCTCGGATGGGAAGAGTTAGGGGAGGTTAAAGTGAGGTTTAAATAAGCACATGGGCCGACAGGGCTAGCTAGAGGGCGGTATACTAGTATAAGACGCGACACTAATAAATGCACCGTGAAGGATCATTTGTGTTTAACCTCGTTTTTCAGGGGGAAAAAAGCAACACCAAACTGCAATGAAAATAAAGCTAGATGGTTAATTGATCCCTTTGACGTTGCAATGTTTTGATTTTGGGGTAGTATTACCTGGCTTTTCAATTTGGCTCCAGAAACTAAACATGGTTTTATTATATGGCTATGGTATGCATAGACATAAAGAACTGGTTCCACTAAATAAGCATACCGCCCTCTGCCGTTGAACGGCTCTTCGCGATCGTACTGTACTGGTACCCGGAGAGCGGAGTACGCACGGGTACGGGTTTCAACGTAGCGCGTGTCGGGTACCAGCTGTATGTTTAGAGGAAACCTGGGCTGCAGACATCTTCAGAAAATGCGACATTTGAAATACTGCACCAAGCTCCGCTCTGCAAAAGAAATGAGTATTTGTGAGTAACTGCGTAACTATAGAGCAAGAAATAGGAATTTGTAGGGGGAACTCGGGAGGGTAAAAATGGCAAATCACGAATTTAATAACCGGCCGTCTTCGCAGTTGTTTCCAGCAGCTCGGGCAATGAAGCAGACGAGCACGACCATGGCCACAGGTCTGGTACCTGGAGTCAACACCTTGACTTCCCCTGTGTCCAAGCAGAGGCAGGTCGAACGACCAATGGCAAGCACACCCACAGCACAAGTTGTTGGGGGAGTGTCGCGCATAGCCTCAGGGGCCCGAGTTCTGGCAAGGGTTGGTATCACACATGGTCACCGGTTCCCCGCAGATGTTCCCTTTAAAGTCCTGAATAGTGCACAAGGTCAAATCCAAGAACAGGTATTAAAGTAGTTCATGTACTCCCTTATACACTCACACAGGCACTAGCACGTTTGTTTATGGTGTAAAGCGAGGATTTTCTTTTGTTCCTCTTCCCTTTTCCTTTGTTTACACTTTTTTGCAACAGCTCTCATTGGTTTTTGTACACGTTTTCTAATCGTGGTTGTCCTCGATTTGGTTCCTGTCCTCGATTCACCAATGATGTTGCACTTGTGTGTCCTCGATTTACACCATTAACAAACTCAATCGTGGACCCCTTATCGTCCTTCTTTAGTCTGTACTTTAACTTTTTAGTAACAGCTCTCATTGATTTGAACTCGAATCTCAATCGTGGACCTTTTGTCAAATCGTGGACCCTACTGTCCCCTATTGTTCAAGGTCCACGATTTGAATGCATATACAAACTCACACTCACATTCAAGTATTTTTAGACTGCTCATCACAATGCACTCAACGAGTTTCCAAGGGTTCTCAAGTAATCTTCCCCACATGTTCTAAAATTTATTCTCGTGCTCATAATGGACCTTTATCGCTAAATTCACACAAAAAAATGGAATACAAATTGCAGTAAAAAACTTCATTTCACTTGAGGCAACACCTCAACAGCATACTAGATGTGTACATTTGAGTAGTGCTGTGTATTCACAGTGCAATGTTACTAATATTTACCTGTGTGCACTGGCAATGGAATCCGCTCCTAGTGATGGTGCATGTACCTTCATTCTGGCAAGGGTTGGAATCACAGTAGCGCACCTGCGTTTCACACTGCCGCCCTGTCAAACCAAAAAAAATAAGGGATCACACTCGGGATTCGCATACTTTCAACCGGAGGACATTTCTAAGCGATGATGTGACTTTGTTTTCCAGGACAGTACATCCTGTTAGTGGAGGTTACAGCCGCCACATGTAGAACTAATAGCTGCCACTTCCAATAACGCTCTCCTTGTATGAATCTAATCCAATACTTAAGGTCTGTTGAACATCAGTTTTTATCGTCGCAATCATAGAACACATCAATGACCCTTATAAGGTTAGCAGTGGAGTCCTGCCTCAGTGAGTTTATGAACAATTGTACTGTACGGGCTCTCAGAAAGCAATGAGCGTTATAGTCAAAGTCCTCACAAGTTTTCCCAACTAAATCATAAGTCAATCTCATTTCGTCCGGTGGATGTGGAAGGCCATTCAAAGATACGATGACAGAGGCGTTCTATTTGTGTTCACGGCCTGTAACTTTTGAACTCAAGAATGATTTGGCTTGTGATTAACCCAAACAGTCCTGAATCTTCCAATTTTAATATGATTTTGCACACCCCCCATAGGTAGTTAGGGTTGATAAGTAAAGGATCATACAATTGTGTACATAACATAATGTCAGGGAAGTGAAAACCCCAATATTAAATTTTTTCTCTTTTCTTCCCGTCTCGCAATCCCTTCTCAGCCCACATATGAGCAGCCAGCTCAACCTCCTGAGAGTAATGCGCCCAGACCTACCTTCGTAGCCCAGATTGCAGACGCACTCAAAGTCGTTGACTTTCTGGATGCAGCTGGAGGTTCCCGCCGGGTGGCAGGGCATGCTCAGACACTCGTTGATGTCGCCCTCGCAGCGCTGGCCGACGTAGCCTGCCGGGCAGTCGCAGGTGAAGCTGCCGATCAGGTCCCGGCAGGTGCCGTCGTGGAAGCACGCCCCCGAGAAGCAGTCGTTGTTGTTGATCTGGCAGTTTATGCCTGTGAAATTGCGAGAGGCCCAAACAGGTTACGTTAACCCCAACCTTCCCACATTCTCCAAAAGCCTCTTTGCAAAATGGGAGGATTTTGCAGGATTGAGGCTATAGGGCCAAAATGTGTGGCTTATTTTGGAGGATGCAGTGTGTCAAGGTCTTAGGCCGGACCTTGCACTATTTATGCTCAGCCGTGCATAAATTTAGGCCTACATTATACTTCATATCCTCCGCACTGCTCCAGGATGTCACTGGCTCTGCCTCAACGTATTGACAGTGATTCCTGGAAGATTTTGAAGGATTGAGGCAGTGGTCACCCCTCCAAAGTACCTCATTGAGGCTGTATGCAATTTTTACATGGAGGCAGTTGGAGGATTTTGCGGGATTGAGATTGCATCCTAGCGAAAATGCCTAGATAGTTTAGGGTAAAGGTACTCAAGTACAGATGGACATCCGTACGTCCAAAATGCAGACAAAGTTAAATATCATTGAAGAGTGTCAAGAGTCAATCCGCGAAAGACAGAGCAATAAGTTCATGAGATGCTACTCGGTCAAAGGTCAGGGGTCAATGCACTCACCTTCAGTGCCAGACTTGCAGGAGCAGCTGTAGGAATTGACCAGGTCGTGGCAGACGCCGCCGTGCATGCACGGAGAGCTGGCGCACTCGTCCACGTTGTTCTCGCAGTTCAGTCCCTCAAAGCCTGCCACACAGGAACAGCTGCAGGACAAAAAGAAGGACATTGTTGCGATATTCCAGTAGCAAATTCGTGTGAAGTTCCAGCGTCAGATCCAAGATGAATTCAACTCTGTGTTCTTGTGGATACAGCCTCAGATGATTATAGAAATAATTTGGTAAAGGCCAAAGGTTTGGCCGTTGCAACTTAGTACCCTGTTGTATCTTTATGTTGCAACGATAAATTCTACATCCAGCCGCAACAACGATGTCTATTCACTGCTCAATGTAGTTCTTACTTTAAATTTAACCAATTTTTATAAAATAAATTAGTGGCAAGTAATATTGGATCTAGTGGCTCTATTTACGTTTTTTTCATGAAAGTCTTTACTCACTACTGAAACAAAAACTTCAAAAGAAAAAAAAACATTTTCATGACCTTAAGGTCACTCGAGGTTTTACCCTGAGGTACCCCAAAAAACCCTGTTAAACCTTGTAGATCAAGGTTTTACCCTGAGGTAACCCACAAAACCCAGTTAAACCTCCTAAAACCTCGGGTAAACCTCCAGTTACCACCTCTTTAATTTTGCATTCTCCTCTAAGTGTTTCAGATAGCTGATGATTGTCAAAAGCACACATCCACTGTTTGGTAATGCAGCACCTGTTAGAGCCAAAGTCCCTCACCATAAAAATCTCAGCGTTTTTTTAAGTGTTTTTGTTTAAGTAGCAGCCCAAAACAAACCTCAGTCTACAATTTTCAGGAAACAATGCCAAGAATTCAGAAAAAAATAACCACCGACTCTGTTTTAAATTTGAGGCGTGCCTACCTGTACTCATTAACTCCGTCACGGCAGGTCCCCCCATTCTGACAGGGCGCCGACGCACACTCCCGTATGTTGGTCTCACAGTAGCTTCCCCGGAAACCGGGCAGGCACTGGCATATGTGGCTGTTGCCGTGGGTCTGGCAGGTGCCGCCATTGAGGCACAGGTTCTCTACTGTCACGCCTGCGAGAGGAAACAGAGCACATCAACCACGGAGATCACATGGGATGCCACAATGGATGGGTTGTAATTACTTTTCCCCCAGAATTACTGTTTTTAAAGGTGTAGTCCATCATTTGTAATTTGTGCATTTTGTTCGTTTGAAGCAACAAAAGAGTTCAAAATCTAATGAAGGATACTGAGCAACTAACCTGATGAAGTTTCAGCTAAGCTTCAGCTGTACATTCCGAGAAAAACAGCATTCTAAGATCTCAATTTCAAATTAAAAGTTGCTGAATCATGTTTTGAATTGTTTTGAATTGCAACTATACGCCACGTCGCGCACTGATCCGACGAATTATAACAACCGCGCGCGCGTGTGCGTCGTTCGAATACTTGTGCGCGCTGCGCTGAATAACAAAACGAACTACTAATTTAAATTTTCCTACGGTGCTTCTTAAGAATCACCGTTGGAACTGCCTTCTTTCGTTGATTACTTCAAAATGACAGCTTCCCAGAAAGAATAATGTCACAGGGAGTTTAGTCTCCTTACTATCTTTCAACCAAGTTAGTTTTTCAACAATAATTACGCCAGTTACTTTTCGGATGGCTGCAAATGATGGACTCTACCTTTAAGATATTTTCCAGGTGAAATAAGCTGTCTCTTAGGAATGCACTCTGCTGAAACGCACATTGGAGTGCTGTCGTCCAATGGTTACAGTATTCCACGCGCGTGCCGTGGTACGTGAGTTCGAACCCTGGTGCTTGTGTTCTTAGGCAAGGCACTTTACTACAATTGCCTCTCGCCACCCAGGAGCATAAATGGGTACCTGCGAAGGTAGTGACCAGAATGCGCTGGTCTCGAGCTGCAGCTAAAATTGGTCTCGTGGCCTGATGAACAGGGGTAATAATTGTGAAGCGTTTTGAGACCTTTGGTATAAAAGCGCTATATAAGCACCACATCATTTATTAAAACATGCCGGTTTGGCTGAGAAACAAACATTTAAACGAGAAAAATTTAGAGCTGAGAAAGATTTATTTGTGTTTGTGAAAATGTTAAGATGTTGGCTGTTGCTTTTAAAAGTTTGTCCCTGTTGCTTGCATATCATTCGACTGATTTGCATTTTTTTCATGAATCATTTTTTACTACTGCACAGTTCCCGATCAATCAAAATCTGCATGCCAATAAAAACCTGGAAACCTCGGCAGCACAACACAATAAACTTGTTACAAATGTAAGAAATGTGGAAATACAACCGATATGAACTGAAAATAGCCAAAAATAAAGAAAACAACTGCAGGCAATCGATAATAAATTGTGCGTAATGCAGTAAACATCTGTTCATCAAACTCGGGTCTCCAGGCCCAAAAAAGTATCGCAATGTATGTTGCTACTGACTGGTACCCTGCTCAATATCACATGGAGTTCCAAGGCAATATTTCCTGCCAAAAGCCTCCCCGGGCAATAGTGGATCCCAGAGGTAAATAGTTTACCTTTTTCTGACGCGGCGACGTCGCAGGACACTTGGTGGACGTCGCACAGGGAACCGGCCCAGGCGCCCTCACATGTGCACGTATACCGGTTGTCGGTCTGCGTGCAGGTGGCCCCATTGGAGCAGGGGTTGATTTCAGCGCTGCACCAGTCAACCAGATCCTGCGTGGGAAAAAAAAAGAAAAAAAGAAACCCATTGACGACTGACTAACAATGAGGCGCTGAGAGTAACTGGAGCATGGCCACTATAGAGTAGCGGTTGTATCATCTCTGATGGTGCAGTCAGGCGCGAAGTCATGAATACAGGGGATTTATTTGGGGAAGCCCGCATATTTCTGAGGGCAAGTCCGGGTCGGAAGTAATTGGAGCGACTGCCTGGGAAGTGGATCAGCGTCGTGACTACAATGGACAGGTGGCCAGCGAACCACAGGCAAACAGGCCGTGTGAAACAATGAGCGACAAAGTCACTATGTTTTTTTTATGTGCCGCGCTAAAGAAGTTACAAAACAACAATACATTGAAACTTGTCATCTTTCTTTAAGTATTGGACTCTACTCTACCCATTTTATCAGACTGCAAACAATATTTTACAATGAAGCTAAACAAATATATATTTGGGGAAAATGCCTTTTGTTCAGAGTCCTACATGTATATCTTTTCAAAGCATTTTTTTGTGCACGAGGTTAGAGGCAGGGGCACAACTTTAGCAATAGCCCGCTAGCCAAATGCTAGTCAAAACAGCGGCGGGCTAGTCAAACTATTCCTTAAGTAGCCCGGCTGGCGAGTCACAAATTATTGGGCTACGGCAAAGATGAAAGGACGGGGAGAAAAATAACTCATGAAATTCAGAAAGCAAACAGGTATCAATTTGTGTCTAATTTTACTGCTAAGGGTTAAATTATTACATCTGTTTATTAAAAACACTGACAAGATTGCCTCAGGAAACACGTTTTACATGTATGCACACTGTTGTTTATAAGACACTATATAAAAGAAAAACATGCAGACTAGTGAAAATGCCTGCAGGCTAGTTAAGAGTCCGTTTCAGCAGCCCAGCTGGCTAGTGGAAAAAAAAAGTTAAGGTCGAACCCTGTGAGTGATCTTTCGAATTTTGTTTACAAAAATTGTTATCACAAGACAAATCAAAGGGACTAATTTCAGAGCACTCTGCAAACACTCTGGCGAAACATAAAACACAACTTTCCATGCAAAAAATTAGAAGTAAAACCCATGCTTGACAGTTGTCTTCCAGTAGTATGCACCATATCAGCTAATGCAATGCAATGTTGGTCCATTGTCAAGCCAAGTAAACAGGTCAAAACAGACACTTTGTTTGACAACAATAGCTGAGCTACACATTGGATGCGCAGCTGCCGTGAAAATGCTTCAACCCAAATTAGAACTTCCGTTATTTTAAACTGGGTTTCTAAACTGGGTTTTAAAAGTGCTAGGTGCCAGCAAAAAAACATCTCGGCAAGGCTCGTTTACACAAGAGACAGTCCATTCACAGAAACGAGGTCATTCAAATCCCCGAGCCATCGCTCATGTCTGCTCCAGAAATGACAGTTAATAGATCACCAAGTTCAATTGAACATGCACAACATACTTGTATATTGTACATTGTTTCCTCGACACAAAGTCATTAATTATAACCAAATATGGGAACAGCTAACCCAGAAAATGTAACCCAGTTTTTATACCCAAGTGATTCTCCATTCTGTTCCCATTATGTCAAAGCCAACTGGCGACAATGTAGCGAAGTCAATAAGTTGCAAAATGGTGAAGCAAAGTTTCTTGATCGACCTTGCTCAAGGGTAGTCTGAGTATCACCCGTTATCCACGGAACCAAGTATTGTATAACATCCGATATGTCTAGACATGCAGATATATGCAAGCCACGCACCAGCCAACTGGAGTCGACTTTTTACTAAATCGTGACGTCATTTCATTCCCAAATCAGGACTAAATGGTTTGATTGGTCAAATCGAATGTGCAGTGTTTTGTAATACAACAACAGCCGGGCGCGATATCGCATAACATGATACAGAGCGCGGGACACATTTTTTTTTTATCCATTGTCTATGATGCGCAATGGGTGAATGACCGAAGACCCGGTATGGAAAGCGCCCGCTGATTGGTCAAAATCTAGGATGTCAAGAGGCGGGGTCTTGACTAATTATTCAACGAATCTGTTCACGCATAATAGCCCATGGCTTTCGCCATGGTCTATTACATAGATTAGCTCAAGGGTACCGACAAGATAGAAAAAAACAAAGGCTCCAATGTGTAACAGATCTTTCATTTCCGCCACTTTGAGTCACAAAATGCAGCGCAGATAATTTCAAAACAGAGCCCACCAATAAACCCATTGACCACAACTGCGTGGTATAACCGAGGTTGGCACCTCAGTCGTACAGATGTGACATGCCTTCTTCAAAATTAAGTTACACGTACGCATTCATTTTTGGCAAGGCAAGGCATCACAGAGTTTCACACACAAGACTTGCGTACAGGCAAGGTTCCAACTCAGTCAAGGCTTTAAATTGTGGTTGCCAGATTAGTCTGTAACTTGATCACATTCAATAAGGGCCCGTGACCATTCAGCCCTGGTATGAAGAGGCCCCCCCCCAGTCCCTCGTCCAGTCCAGAGCCAGTCCGCTTTTCAGCCCAGTCTCATCCAGTTCATGGGCCTGTCTGTCCAGAAGTTTTGAAATCAGTCAGGTGCATCAATTTATTACCCTTAAGAGAACGTCCAGGGAAGAACATCAGAAGAGTTATCGGATTAAAGATAAAATCCTTCCAAACGCCTTGTTAATTTACAGTCTCATTGTGCGCGAAACCGCATGGCAGGGGGTTTGATCTGTGCCGATGAAAGTGTTCTATTGTTTCGCACTGAGAGATGAAACCACAAGCGGGTTTCTTCTGGGATATATCACATGTGTCAATACTTGCAAACAATTGACCCAGGGATAGAGCAGTTTCTGATCAGCCATCGGACCAGCTCCTAGACCGGTAACTGGGCTGGTACGAAAGGACATTTTGGGCGGGGACGAGCTTATCGGGGGGCCCTTTTCATACCAGGGCTGAATGGTCACGGGCCCAAAACTTACCTGGCAGTTCTCCCCAAGGTAGCCCAGCACACAGTTGCAGGTGTAGTAGCCTGTATGGTCCACGCAGGTGGCCCCGTTCTGGCAGAGGTTGGAGCTGCACTCGTCCACCTGGTATTGGCAGTTGGGGCCGACGTGGCCAGGTGTGCAGTGACAGGTGTATTCATTGACTCCATCGATGCATGTACCTCCATACAGACAAGAGCTTGGACAGGAAGAAGACATGTTTTTTTTCAATTAAAAAAAAGTCTCTCACACAAAAACTATTATGGTATACAGGGGAATAAATTCTCAACCTTTCAATTTTTTGCGACAAAGCAAACCAACATTTTAAAAACACACAAACTTTGCAATGTACGATGTGAACAATTCTCAAGGTTATTATAATAGGTTATAATACAGGTGCTAATAGGTTAAACCACATTTCCTCTTGATTCTTTTCAATTTTTTTTCCAGACTTATGCACTTCACATCTGCAAACATCTTAAACCCCTCCCCCCCCCAAAAAAAACATTTGTGCTATCTAGTCTGGTTCCCCAGTTTACCTCTCAGTGCAGTCCATGTCGTTGGTCTGGCAGTAGACTCCGCTGTAACCCAGCGTGCAGGCGCAGGTGAAGCTGGAGACGTAGTCATGGCAGGTGGCGCCGTTCCGGCACGGGATGGACTCACACTCGTCTGTGTCCGTCTCGCAGTTCTTGCCCGTAAAGCCCGGCAGGCACGCGCAGGTGTAGTCGTTGGTCTTGTCAAAGCAGGCCGCGCCGTTCTGGCAAGGGTCTGGGAGAAAAGAAAAATTGAATGCATAAATTGACTCGTACAAAACTAAGGAAGTTTAAATGACAAAAATCTGACTAACTAAGTGCTCCAAAGTAGGCACTGGCTTTCTGGAGAAATTGAGGGCACTATTTTGAGCTGGTAAACTCTTTTATTTACCCAAATTTACCCATTCCAAGTAACGCCTGCTTATTGTGTCTGCCGTATCTCAAAAAAAGTTGACTTGACTGCTGAGTATATTGCGCTATTGCACTGGGAAAATTAATGCACATTGATGACTTTGCTAAACATTTAAAATTCCGAGTTACTTTAATATTTCACCTTTTGGAAAAGTTGTTGGGGTTCACACCTGTTTCAACTCTAGCCTGCCCTCTTTTTTTTTGTAAGGGAAGTGGAATATGAGGTAATGATCAATCTGTTCCGAATCTCTCCTATAGAAAGCTGCATGCCATGAAGGGCAAGCTGCTTTTCCGTTCTCCATTCTTGCAATACAAACACACAACTTCACCAAAATGGTTCCATAACGCAGTGCATCAATCTGTAGGTTGCAAATTTGTTTTTTTGTTTTTTTGCATTAAACTCACCAGACTCGCATTCATCGATGTTGGTTATGCAGTCCTGACCGCCGAATCCTGGGGGACAGATGCACTCATAGGAACCAAAGGTGTTGTTGCAGATTGCACCGTTGTGGCAGGGCGGGTACTCACCGCACTCGTCAATATCTCGGTTGCAGAATTCACCTGTATGTATGGGATAATTGATTTTGAAATTTGACATCTAGAAAACAGGGTGCAATATGAAAAAAGGTTAATACAGCGTTTTAATTTTTTTTACCCTAATTGAGGAAAGAATGTTGGATCCTGACGCCACTTTTTTTTCATCATGTATTATCTCGGTGAAGGTCAGTCATTGCAAACAAAGTTTGAAAGACATGAATTTAGGACTGAGGAACATTTCCAATTTCGAAAATACTTTGCAAATGCACTTGACTCTTCGTCGACTTTGTATACAACCAAAGAAGTGGCATCTGAATATTATATTCTTTCCCTGTTTGAAACCATATCAACATCAAAACACACTCCTTTTAGGTTGCACTTTAATTGTAGGCATATCCAGACCCCAGAAAAACAGAAATGTTTTTTTTTGCACCAACTAGTCCAAATTTGAAGTGCTGTAGAAAGGTGAGGTTGTACAGTGCTGATGGCACAATGTTGTAGTTTCAACACAACAAGTTACCACAGCTGTTGCGTGCTCAGGTGCCATAGGGTACAGTAGTGAGTACCCTGGCTAGAGTAACGGTTCTGTTTACCTGTGTAGCCATTTGGACAGCTGCAGGAGTATCCATTGTAACTGGGGAACGGTTCGCATGTAGCACCGTTCTCACATCGGTGGTTCTCGCAAGGTTGCAGCAGGTCCTCGCAAACCTCCCCGGTATACGGCGGGATGCAGACGCACTCAAACGAGTTGACCGCGTCGATGCAGGTCCCGTTGTTGCGGCAAGGGTACCCCACGCAGTCGTCGACGTTGCTCTCGCAGTTGGTGCCCGCGTAGCCCTCGGGACACTCGCAGACGTAGTAGTCCAGGCCGCTGGCGCAGCGGCCGCCGTGCTGACAGGGGTTGGAGGCGCACTCGTCGATGTCGGCATTGCAGCGGGGCCCGCCGTAGCCCCGCACGCACTCGCAGGCGTACTCATTGACGCCGTCCTGGCAGGTGCCGCCGTTTGAGCAGGGCGAGCTCTCACACTCGTTAATGCTTGAAAAGCAGAGGGCGTCGTGGTAGCCCGAGGGGCAGGTGCAGATGAACTTGTTGATGTCGTCGTGGCAGGTGCCCCCGTTGGCGCAAGGGTTGGAGGCACACTCGTCTATGTTGACCTCACAGAGTAGTCCCTCATAACCTGCCAGACACTCGCATTCATATCCGTTGATTAAATCGTTACACAATCCACCATTCTGACATGGGTTGGACGAGCACTCGTAAGTGTTTATGGAACAAGTGGCACCTGTAACAAAACGTTAGTGATTAGTTTTGTGAGAAATCAAATTTGCAAGCAAGAAAATTATTCACAACATTTGTTGTACTCCTCCTCACATTACTTTGCCTTCCAGAATCCAAACACTTCCAAACTGCTAATTCATGAATAGGGGAAGATTTCGCTTTATTGTTTTTCAAAGCGTCTGGCATTTCAAGGCCTTCCCCAAAATATATATGGAGCACGCTACAAACTGCTTCCATGAAAGTCTTTGCTGACAGGCTTTGTGCAGGGGGAAGGTGTGTCACAAAACAACCACTAGATGACCTACGCTCCTCAATGGAACTTGCTTCATATTACACCAAGGTTTGGTATTTTTTCAGTGATCTTACCAGTGGTCCCTGGGGCACAGACGCACTGGTAGGCCCCAACCAGGCCGATGCAGGTCCCGCCGTTCTGGCAGGGCTCGTCCAGGCACTCGTCAATCTGGTTCTCGCACAGCCGGCCCTCGTAGCCCAAGTTGCAGATGCAGGTGAAGCCGTTGAGGGCATCCTGGCAGCGGCCGTTGAAGCAGGAGTCGTGCTGGCAATCGTCGTAGTCAGTCTCGCAGTCCACGCCAGTGTAGCCTGCAGGACAGGGGAGAAAAAAAAAACAGACGCATACATAACCTTGGCTGGGACTTCTCAAGGGTAGCAGTTGCATCCCTAGCAGTGCATTTTTGTTTCATCGGGGATGGATAATGAGTTATTGCCAAAAAAACTGTCTACGCCAGATACGTAAATGACATTCTTACAGAATGCCTCTTAGGAGACCCACTAACCGGGTTCCCGAGTAAAAAAAAAACCATCCAAGCTGGCAAGTATTCGTCCCTTAGTATTAGTCAGCTAAGGAGGCTGGCCTAACAAATCATACTTGACGATTCTGATGCCAAATCAACCTCTGCCTGATTTTCTTAGGAAGTAAGCTAAAATTGCCATTCGCAAAATTACTGTGCTAAACAAAAACAAAAATCAGCTGAGAAGCAGTCACAATCAATACACGTCTGATGAGATTCTGTAGCTGGTAACATGCAAATAAGCAGATATTTTTTTTTTTCTGTGCTAAGCTGATGTCTATGCTTACCTGGTAGACAACTGCATGTGTACTGATTGGCACCGTCTAGGCACGTTCCCCCGTTCTGGCAGGGGTCCGAGAGGCACTCATTGATGTTCGCCTCGCAGCGGGCCCCGGTGTAACCTTCCAGACAGTTGCACTGATACCGGCCCACCTTGTTCAGGCAGAAACCGTCGTTTAGGCAAGGGTTACTCGCGCACTCATCGATGTCGGTTTCGCAGTAGACACCTGTGTAGCCTGCAAGGTCAAGATCAGAAAGGGAAAAAATCAGATATTTGGAAGAAGTAAAAAAAAAAAAAAAGAGTATCTGCTGAAGTCAATGCAAGACGTATCACACTAATTTCAACTTGCGAGGTGCAACGTTCTATGTGGTCTTGGTCCTGAAATTCAAAGAGGAAAAAAAACAGTTTTCTTCAGACTAAGGCTTAAAAGTGTGGTATAGGATTTAGTCTTCAAAGCAGCATGTCAAAAGTCAGAATATTCTGGCTCGTTTTTGAACACTCATTTTGAGTAAGTCAGTACATTCCCAACGGAAGAAAGCCGATGGTTGTGGAAGAATGTTTCACCCCCCCTTCCGTTGCTTATAAGGAAAGCAGCATTCCTATTATGTTTCCATCTGGGCCAAACTAAGTTTGCTTATGTACTCATACAATGAAAAAGATGAGGTCAGCTATCCAGAACATTTGCCACAGTTGCTTCGCTCGTCTCTGCCTCAGTTTCTCACCTCTGACACAGACGCAATTGAACATCCCGGCCAGGTTGAGGCAGGTGCCCCCATTGACGCAAGGAGTGGATGCACACTCGTCGATGTCCACCTCACAGCGCAACCCGCTGTAACCGGGTGCGCAGTTGCAGTAAAAAGCTCCCACGGTATTGACGCACTCACTGCCATGTCCACTTTCGCAGGGATCTGTGGAGAAAACAAAAAAAATTCCTTAGTTTAAAACCCTCAGTACATACTTTTTTTAGGGGAGGAAGCGCATTCAAACCGCTCCTCTGGAGAGACGGCTTTTGCTGTGGTGATTTTGAAATATGTTAAGTACTTTAGTCAAAGGTATGTGATTTTGAGGTTTAGGCGAGGTTACTTTAAGGCTCACAAAATGGTCACTGTGAGGTTCAAAAATGGTCACTGTGGGGTACCAAAATGGTCACTGTTGGGTTTCCAAATAGTCACTGCGAGGTTACCAAATGGTCACTGTTAGTGGACCATGGTCACTGTGAGGTTCCCAAATGGTTACTGTGAGGTTCCTTAATGGTCAACGTGGTTCCTAAATGGTCACCCTGAGGTTCCTAAATGTTCACTGTGTGTGGTTCCCAAATGTTCACTTCAAGATTCCAATGTGGTCAGATGTGAGCTCGGGTTACCGTTATATAAATGTCATCTGTGAGGTTCCTCAATGAGATAACGGTGATGATTCCAAATAGTCACTATGAAGCTTAGTTCAGTGCGAGGTTTCCATGTAATCGCTGTGAGGTTCTACTTTGGAAAGCCAATGTGAGGTTTCACCTAGTTCCAATAGGCCACCTGAGAAGTGTTACAAACACAACTATGTTGACTCACCATACTCGCACTCGTCGATATCAATTGAGCAGTCGCTCCCTGTAAGACCGCCGGGACAGTGACAGACAGCATCACCGGTGCCAGGGTTGGTGTCACAGGTGGATGAGGCAGCACAGGGGCTGCTGATGCAGGCATCCTCAAGATGACAATACAATCCTGAAGGGTTACAATCAGAACTTCTTTAACCCTAATGACCAATGCACTTTTACCAGAAACCTTTCTTAGTTCTATAAAAAAAGATGTTAAGCCACATTTTTGGAGGCATGCTGTCTAAGGTTTCAAATGACTAGGTTTAGATAGCAATATGAACCTCATTAAAACTCTTTCACCAAAGCTTTTAAAACTTCATCAACAAAGTCTTACGTAAGTTGTAAACCGGTATACATTGAAAATAACTTTTATAACCACATTTTGCTGATCGCTTCTTAAAAGGAGAAGAAGCTCATGCTCCCCTCCCACTTCTCTTTACAATGCTGCTAAAATGACAGAATGTTTTCCTGATCTGTTTTTTTTTTTGACGAAGAGAGAACTCCAGTGGTCTTACCAGTGTAGCCAGCAGCACAGATGCACCTGAAGCTGGCCACGGCATCTTCACATGTGGCGCCATTTTCGCAAGGAGTCGTTTCACAGGCGTCCACATCGTGCTCGCAGTGATCCCCCTCAAAGCCGTAGACGCACATGCACTGGTAGCCTGGGGCGTTGTTGCGGCAGGTGGCGCCATTCCTGCACAGGTTTGGCTGCAGCGTGCACTCGTCCACGTCGTCTGTGCAAAGCTCGCCTGTGTGGGAGAAGAAACAACCAAATCGGACCAGGTGGGGTCAATCTAGACTGAGTAGACGTACGGTACATGTAAACAGGGCGGGATTACTTTTGGCCAAAAAACACCATTTTTCAAACTATGTCGGGCCAAGTTTAAAATGAAGCCAAACACCACAGATACTGACTCTGGAGAGTCATTTGTTCAATATTTGTACCATACTTCTCACCCAAACATTCCAAGGCCCTGCCACGGAGCGATATTTGTAACCACGACAGGCCGTGTAAAGCAGCCGAGATCAAGTTCAACACATGGTGTGTACAAGGTGTCAACAGGTTAACTAAAAACTTTTGAGAGGAAGCTCAAGTTATAACCAGAGGCTCAAGTTATTGTTGTCTTCTCACTGATCGTGTTCTTCAGCGATTTAAAACCTTGTAGATCAGGGGTTGGTTGGTGGGGAGCAGGGCTTACCTGTGTATTCCGGGGCGCAACTGCAGGTGTAGGAGTCAATACCATCGATGCATAATCCTCCATTCGTGCACTGATGCATGATGCAATCGTCGATGTTGGTTTCGCACTGAGTCCCAGTGTAACCTTCCAAAAGCAAAGCACAACCAAATCAGGATTTATCAAAAAATGTGAAGACGGTCTGACTAACCAAAATGATCCCAACTCAAATCATCTTATAAGTGTTAGTGGACCATGGTCACTGTGAGGTTCCCAAATGGTTACTGTGAGGTTCCTTAATGGTCAACGTGGTTCCTAAATGGTCACCCTGAGGTTCCTAAATGTTCACTGTGTGTGGTTCCCAAATGTTCACTTCAAGATTCCAATGTGGTCAGATGTGAGCTCGGGTTACCGTTATATAAATGTCATCTGTGAGGTTCCTCAATGAGATAACGGTGATGATTCCAAATAGTCACTATGAAGCTTAGTTCAGTGCGAGGTTTCCATGTAATCGCTGTGAGGTTCTACTTTGGAAAGCCAATGTGAGGTTTCACCTAGTTCCAATAGGCCACCTGAGAAGTGTTACAAACACAACTATGTTGACTCACCATACTCGCACTCGTCGATATCAATTGAGCAGTCGCTCCCTGTAAGACCGCCGGGACAGTGACAGACAGCGTCACCGGTGCCAGGGTTGGTGTCACAGGTGGATGAGGCAGCACAGGGGCTGCTGATGCAGGCATCCTCAAGATGACAATACAATCCTGAAGGGTTACAATCAGAACTTCTTTAACCCTAATGACCAATGCACTTTTACCAGAAACCTTTCTTAGTTCTATAAAAAAAGATGTTAAGCCACATTTTTGGAGGCATGCTGTCTAAGGTTTCAAATGACTAGGTTTAGATAGCAATATGAACCTCATTAAAACTCTTTCACCAAAGCTTTTAAAACTTCATCAACAAAGTCTTACGTAAGTTGTAAACCGGTATACATTGAAAATAACTTTTATAACCACATTTTGCTGATCGCTTCTTAAAAGGAGAAGAAGCTCATGCTCCCCTCCCACTTCTCTTTACAATGCTGCTAAAATGACAGAATGTTTTCCTGATCTGTTTTTTTTTTTGACGAAGAGAGAACTCCAGTGGTCTTACCAGTGTAGCCAGCAGCACAGATGCACCTGAAGCTGGCCACGGCATCTTCACATGTGGCGCCATTTTCGCAAGGAGTCGTTTCACAGGCGTCCACATCGTGCTCGCAGTGATCCCCCTCAAAGCCGTAGACGCACATGCACTGGTAGCCTGGGGCGTTGTTGCGGCAGGTGGCGCCATTCCTGCACAGGTTTGGCTGCAGCGTGCACTCGTCCACGTCGTCTGTGCAAAGCTCGCCTGTGTGGGAGAAGAAACAACCAAATCGGACCAGGTGGGGTCAATCTAGACTGAGTAGACGTACGGTACATGTAAACAGGGCGGGATTACTTTTGGCCAAAAAACACCATTTTTCAAACTATGTCGGGCCAAGTTTAAAATGAAGCCAAACACCACAGATACTGACTCTGGAGAGTCATTTGTTCAATATTTGTACCATACTTCTCACCCAAACATTCCAAGGCCCTGCCACGGAGCGATATTTGTAACCACGACAGGCCGTGTAAAGCAGCCGAGATCAAGTTCAACACATGGTGTGTACAAGGTGTCAACAGGTTAACTAAAAACTTTTGAGAGGAAGCTCAAGTTATAACCAGAGGCTCAAGTTATTGTTGTCTTCTCACTGATCGTGTTCTTCAGCGATTTAAAACCTTGTAGATCAGGGGTTGGTTGGTGGGGGGCAGGGCTTACCTGTGTATTCCGGGGCGCAACTGCAGGTGTAGGAGTCAATACCATCGATGCATAATCCTCCATTCGTGCACTGATGCATGATGCAATCGTCGATGTTGGTTTCGCACTGAGTCCCAGTGTAACCTTCCAAAAGCAAAGCACAACCAAATCAGGATTTATCAAAAAATGTGAAGACGGTCTGACTAACCAAAATGATCCCAACTCAAATCATCTTATACCTGTTCAAAATTTATACCAAAAATAAATAAACAACTAAAATATACACAACGGTATTACATCTCTTTTTTTCACGCAATGTCGTGTTTCTGTCGTTTCAAGTATTGTTAAGGGTGTTCTGCATACAGCGGCAATGGAATTCAAGCAGCACTCGTCTCCATTTTACATGTACTTTCACTACACACATGCACAGCATAGAAGATTATAAAAAATGGAAATCGTTCACTAAACTTACCTGCAGGACAGATGCACTCATGGGAGTACATGCCCAATGGGTTGCACTCGCCCCCGTTCCGGCAGGGATTGGGCCGGCATGGGGTATAGATGGACTCGCAGCGCCGACCCGTGTAGCCCTGCGAGCAGGTACAGATGAAAGAGCCAACCAGATTCCCGCAGGTGCCGCCGTTGTGGCAGGCCGTCACCTCGGCCGTGCACTCGTTGATGTCGATGTCGCAGTGCGTGCCCCGGTAGTAGATGGTGCAGCTGCAGTTGTAGCCTGTGGCGTGTGAGTTGCAGGTGGCCCCGTTCTTGCAAGGGTTCCCCACGCAGTGGTCAGTCATGGTACAGTTTCTTCCTACAAGCGGGAAGAAACGTTGAAAACAGTGTTTCATTTCGCCTTAACACCATCAAAAGATTTTAACAGTGTTAATCACAGGGGAGGACTTGATTTCACCTACGCCACAAAGGCAGGCTGGGGAGTGGCATTGAATTTGTACTGTACATGTGAAAATATAACACTGAATTCAGTTGATAGCAGATCAAAGGTCAAAGGGATAATAACGTGCTGGCTGTTCACTGACTCTGTATCTGAGTGAGGCTGTGGCTTAAGTGGGAATTGTTTTCAATGGCTACAGCCATTCACCGTAGTGCACAAATGGCATAAACGTAGCCATATCTAGGCACAGCCTGAGATGTCTGGGCAGTGTGGGGCCTGCTAAAGAACCCTCCTGTAAAGCCCTCACTACAGGCACATGGTTATAGTTACGGTCACGGCTATGAAAAACCATGGCCAGAGCCACAAAATACCGTTTTGCGAACACAGCCTGAGATATTTAGGCATTGCAGGGAGAACTAAAAACACACACCTGTAAAGCCCTCACTGCATGCACAGGTGTAGTCGTCCACCGAGCCCCGCAGGTTGCAGCGGCCGCCGTTCTGGCAGGGCTGCTCGTCCCTGCAGACGTTGGACAACTCCAGCTCACACAGGGAGTTGGTCCAGCCCACGTCGCACAGGCAGGAGAAAGTGGGCTGGGAATCGCCATCTGTAGGCTCCACTATTTGGCAGGTGCCTCCGTTCAGGCAACGATTGTGGCGGCAAGGGTTGTCATACTCGCAGCTAGCGCCAAAGTGAGTGTCGGGACATCTAGGAATAAAAAAAGTAAACGCTGGTTAGACCTGAGGATTTTTCGGTATTCGGTCCTTTTTGGTGGAGGTTGTACGGGATCTGAGCGGCAACAACAGGGCACTTTTTTCCCACTTTGGAGAGCCCAAGCATACTTGTTCACGTGAGTATAGCACAGAGTACGCACGACCGATGTGCACAAAGCCATGTAGTGTCTTCGTGTGAGCATCAGGCGTCTCCATCAGGTCTCCCCAAACTCTCCCTCTCCTTACCGTTGAGGGGGTACTTTGCACGAAGCCCACTCCATCAAGACATGTGCCACAACTATAAGGAACTTAAGGAGCTGACTAGGTATTTTAACTGGACACCATGTATACAGGGACAGCCATCACCCTCAAGCATCTGAATTGATTGGGGATGTGCCCAATAATAATTCTACTGTCCCCATCTGTAGTTTGACTTGGAATGCAATTTCCTTTAATCAGTGTTTCAACAGTTTAATTCAGATGAGGCACTGGGCAGTTTTTGACAAAGTATCTTTGATATCACTTCAGAAAAGAAATTTCACCTTTGATTTTTTTTTCACACAACCATTTCCAAGTTTGCCCTCAAATTCCCCACTTATTTACTGTTCCCCTCTTCCTAGGAACAAACCCTTGCACAGATCCCCCCCCCTACCAAAAAAAATGTGATGAACTCAATTTACAAGCTGAGTTGTGATCATGTGACGGACATTGTAGAAATTGGACAACTTCCACTTTATTTGTACAACCAAAAATTGTCAGGTAACTGTGGCTTGTTTGGGGAACGAACACATTAGGGAAAAGCAAAGGAACAAAACTGAAAGTGTCAAAAGGACCCAACATTTTTCAACTGTTATTCTCACACAGTCCTTCATCTGTCTGCACAGACAACTCGCTTTGTTAAATCATCATTGTAACCTAATAGGATGAGTAATATTGAGATTATTCAACATTGTCAAGTGATTGATGGTTTGCAAGAGCAAAACAAAATTATCATCGTGAACCGAATGAACCGAATGAATAACACCGCAAATATTTCACACTGTGAAACAGAAGGTCAAATATCTCAACCCGGACTAGTGCTTAATCTTACGTAAAATAACAAAGCGTAGGTGCAGACAAAGCAGACAACCAACAACCCATCAGGGGTATTTCTTTAACAGGATCCAACAGTTGGGAACCCAAAAAATAAAGAACCCATGATATTAAGAGCTAACAGCCATGAAACACTCCAAAGCAAATCCGCACCACAAAGCAGAGAGATCTCGCCGTAAGACCCACGCGAATCTAGCTCAACGTCCCATGGTAAAGAGTGCCTGGGGTTTTTAATACACCGCAGACAGAAGGGTTATTCCTAATCTCTTCATTGTGGCCAGCTTCTTTTCTTTCTTTTTTCGTTGAGGCTTATTATCGCGGTATTCGCCGGTTCAACAAGCTCAGGACTTGTAGGGTTTCGTCCGGGATAATGAGGGTGTATTGTTGCCTGGCGAGACAGAGGAATTAGAATTCATACATGGGAGGGTGAGGATTCAATTATTCCCACGCATTGGGCCTCGGGGGGAAAAAAAGCTCAACAGGAGGAATTACTGGTTGGCAATCTGTCATATTTTAAGAGAGTTTTTCAAATTAGGTCAGATGATTTATAAAGCTGGTTCCTCATTAGTCATTATTATCAAATGATGGCATCGTTACCAGGATGTAACCCTGCAAAATGTGTGTGTCTGTATTATTATAATAATGCGGGTGCTTATATAGAGCTTTATACCACAGGAAAGGGCCTCAAAGCACTGCGCAATTATTATTACCCCTGCTCATCAGGCTACGAGTCCATTTTTTGCAGCAGCTCGAGATCAGCACATTCTGGTCTCTACCCTCACAGGTACCCATTTATACTCCTGGGTGGAGAGAGGCAATTGTAGTAAAGTGTCTTGCCCTAGCACACAAGCACCATGTTCGCCATCAGGGTTCGCTCCACCATGTTCATTATGTGGCAACAAATAATAAAAAATTACCAAGAGGCATCTAATTAATCTTCATCAGGCTTTTCATTCAGAATAAATTCCGTTCAAAGTAGAAAATTAGATTTGCTAACGAGCTCGGTAAAGCATAGGGTTTAACAAGAAACTGTATTCTTAAAGTGGCCAGATGACTGGATTCCAGGTTAAGGATCTACTACCACTAATTCAACTACATGTCTGATAATAATTTCAGTAAAATACAAACATATGAATTAACTTTAAAAAAGAAAGTAATCATCAAGTTTGATGCTTCCTTGCTCTATGCTTGAACTTTCTACTTCCTAATTTATTCACTTTTTTTAGCTTCTCCTTAAATAATACTGGTTCTTGGCCTATGAATTAGTACTAAACAGGGTTCAAACCAACAAGTATGCCTATCTCTACAATGACCATGTACAAGTATTTTGAAAACACAAATCAAAGTTTAGGTGTTAGCATAGTTTAGATTAGTGGATTCATTCATCCCCAACTATATCATGTACTGTATTCACTGTTAGCCCAGTTACATGGACAGTGCCTTTACAGGTGGAATCACTCTTGTTTTACAACTGTCAAACACACAATCAGCAGTGGTGGTCCATCCAAACCATCCTATGGTCCTACCATGGAGCTATAAACAGGTACCCAACAGGCAAACAAAAACCCTGAACCATGGACCCTAATCCGCTCACCAACATACAACACATGCAGGGCACCATCCCCCTCCACTGCCTACTGAATAATGCATGAAGCTGGGCCGGCCAATGAATGGAAAGGGGTCGCGAGCTGAAGGGACAGGTGCGCATACTAAATGAGCTTGTTTACTCCCTGACACTGAGCCCATGTAAACCTATGGATAAACTTTTTTTACTTTAGAAAAGGGGGGGGGGGGTAGGAAATAGAAATGTAGTTCCTGTATGAGGTTTATCAGGCATGCATGCGTGAGGGCTTGCATAATACACTCAGGGTTGAATGAACAAACACAGAGAAAAGTGAGTTACATTTAGAGTGCTAAAATAAATATCAGTTGCAGAACTGAATTTCTTGGGGTGTTTTTTTTTTTTGGGGGGGGGGGGATCGCACAACTACAATCATATATAAACAATGGACATTGTGAAGTATGTATTATTGACACGACATACACGCACATGATAAATGACCAGCCACAGATGGAAATTGGTAAACAACTGGGGCAAAATTGATAGCTTAACAATGAATTGTCCACACTGGACTTTTGGCTGTTATTGTCGGGCCTTCTGTCTGGGGCTTGGTTGTCTCTGTCTGCTAAGACTCAGTCCACTTTCTTGGTACAGATGTTTTGCAGCGTCCCAGTTAAACCCAAACTACACCACAAAAAAATCACGGTGTTCACTAGTTGTCTCTGCACTCCAACCTTTAGATAACTTTTCCTTGGTGATTCATATTACAATTTTACAATTGTACATCATGAGCTAGATGCCAAAATCAAAGCAATAAATGCACGATTTATGAGCCTGATTTTCAACTACTTTTTTTTTTGTGGGGGGGGGGGGTTATGTACGAATAATGTGTGATGATGTTACTATTTTTAGGCACAGTATCTTATCTGGCACTGCAAGAAGCATTAACCCTTTACTCACTGTTCTTAGGCAAGACACTTTACTACGATTGTTAGCAAACCACCTAAACACTCTATGGTTTTATTGATTCTTCAGTGATTCCTCCATGGTAATACAATGTAGTACAAGTGCTAATGGGTTAATAAACACTGAAATTTACATCTATTATGAATTTTCTGACCCTTACAAAATGTCCCAAAAAATGCCACCTAGTTAAACAACTTCAAAAAGTGCTAATATATTTGAACCTTTCAATTATTCTCTCCAAATAGTCCCTTAGCCAGTGCATAGGGGGACCTGACCACCTATCCAGTGGCCCCATAGATATGGCAGTCTTGAGTTACACTAAATCCTGGCTGTTATGAAAGAACAGACCCTTACCCCGGGGTCAAATTCGGGGCCTGGCTGGTTCCCTTTGAAATCAAACTCTGAGCTGTAAATTGATGGGGATTGGCAATGTAGACACCACACACAAAAATGAAACAGCTCCAGAAAAAAACTTTACGGAAATCAAGGAAAAAAGCACTGGTTTATAACATGGAGGTTAGCCGGAACGCAAGAATTAGTTTAACTCGGAAGAATGTGGCACACTTTCAGTCCAGACGGTCTGATTTATGTGGTTTGATGTTTACAATTTGCTCTTTTTTTATGTGCATGAGAGAAAGATGGGCATAATTCAAAATTCCAGGCATTTCTGTGGGCAGGTTTGTTGATAACATTTTTCAGCTTTTTATTGCGCCAGAACTTGATCGTGTAAATATTTCAAGTTGAAAACTGTGCCAATGGGAACTGATTTTAAGACAAACCCCGTTTCAAATGAAGGTTGTGTTGAAACTGAACAAGTACTTTGAACAAGAAGGGTCCCATTAAAAATCATCAAAAAGTCTAGAAAAATACTTGTTGTCATGAAATATACTGGACGTACACTATTCACAGAATTAACAATCTATTTTTACATTTATCTGAACATCCAACTACTTTTTCAGAGAATTTGATTCACATTTCAGTTTCATGTTCCAGTTTCCCCACAAGTCAAAAACGAAAGCCAATTTAGGGCGGACTGAATGAACGCTGCTCACACACACACACAAAACCCAACAAAACCCGTCTATAAATGAATGACGTTACCTATTCCATGGAAAATGGGAATATTTGGTTGGGGTATGATTAATATTCATCAAGCTTTTGATGAACTTTGGTGAAATTTCCTTTAAAAAATTGCACGGGGCTGTACAAAATGTACATTAAAAACAGGGCAAAATTCGACATAATTCAAACCTCATCAAGCGAGCTAAGGAAAATATTCGGGACAATCGAGAAAAAGAACTCCAACCGAGGACAGCAGGAGAGCACACCTGCCTGAGCGTGGCGCAGTAACACCTCTCCACCAATCAAAAGCCTCC